TAATTACTGCTGCAGATTTTTGACTGAGCTAGAGATTCAGCCATCTTTAATTGCAGAATGTGTGTTTACCCCATAGAAGTTAGTTTGTGAAAAATTTAGAAACATGCCACATTTTTAATGCCTCTTAAATTTTTAGTTTTTAAAATTTAAATTGATTTTTATGGTTGCTCATAGTGATTTATTACATTCCGTATTCCAACAACAAATACCCCCACGATTGCACCTTCCCAGCACCATTATTTCCAATTTTCCCTACCACCACCCAAGCAGGCCCTAAATGATTTGTTTCTAATTGTTTGTTGTAATTCGCTAAAAATGATCAAAAAAGACTTCCTTAGTGAAAGGTATGTGAGGATTTTTGTATCTCATTCTGAATCCCTTAAGCTCTTGTGTAAGAGCTTACTAACATGTTATTACAGTTTAACGCTTGTGTGTTAATATTTTCTTAATCAAGATTGGTTGCTTTCTACTTTACATTCTACCCAATGTAGTTTGCTACTCCTGGTATATTAGTGGTGCAGTGTATCAAATGTCATGCAACCACAGGCTGCTCCAGGAATTCTAAAATTTTGATAATGGTGATATAGCTGAGTTAAATTTTTAACTGGATGGTACAGAAACATCTCTGCAGCTTGCTGATCTCTTTCGAGATTTATTTATGAGTGTTCGGATCATGGCCTATAAAATGAGCTTATATGGTGCCGAAGGCAGTTCATCGGTGTGACTGCCAGACTCCTGGAAGAAAAGAGGGATGCAGGGCGGTCGTCCATCCCCAACTCCAAGAGAGCCTGGGGATTTTGGTCACAAAACGCACATACCTGAGTTTTTCAGCAGATTCATTCCTGGATGAGGCTTGTCCGAGCCTGTGGAGATTGGACTTGAGCATGTCCCAAGTATGATACTCAACCTGCTTTTGTAGTCTGGAGGCATCTATGCAGTTTGCTGATATCTTTTGAGATTTATTTATCACTCTTGCATGCCACATTTTTTTCCAGCCTCTTTTTTGCTTTGTACAGTGTTTCTTCAAAATTTCAATGAAAAAGGTTCCAGGTATATCAGAATACTTTATTTTGCACAAATGTTTCATGGCTTCTTTTGTATTTTTATTCAGGTATGTGGCTCAGTACTTACTTGGGTATATCAGGTTCTAGATTTGGTTTGATCCCTGGCATTACCCAGTTAATTAAAATCCAGGCATTTTTCAGATGCAAACATGGAAATTTATATTGGATATGTTTTTTTTTAATCACAATTAAAATCTGTTTTGGTTTTGGCTTTAGGCCACAACTGCTGATTCTTAGGGGATACTGACTTTGTTCTCAGGTTGTTTTAGACCTTTTTCGGGGTGACTCTAGGGTAGTGGTGATCAAAACTAGTCCTCACACATACAAAGTTTTCAATTGGCCCTTTTAACTATTTCTTCCCCCAAAATAGTGTAATCTAAAGCCGTATTGCAGCTGATTTTTAATTAGTAAGATATCCTTTGAGGTGCTTGATGAGAAATTTTATTGTAAGTGAGACTATTTGCATTATCAACTTAATTTGAATATTGAATACATATGTGTTAGTTTGTACATTTTTTCCATATGTGTTGTTAATATATTTTGATTCCTGTCCTTTTCTGCTTGAATTTGTTAAGGATTTCTGGTTGCTTCTCTATGTAGAAGTTGGAGAATGCTTTCATTTGTTTAAAAAAATTTAGAAAGAAGTTAAAGTAAAAGGACAAAATGCTGTTTGAGTCCCTTCTTCATATTTTTTCTGCTTTTTTTAGTGTTGCTCTTGTTTGCGGGCCAGACCCAACGATGCACAAGGATTACTCCTGGCTCTGTACTCAAGAGTCATTCCTGTCAGTGCTCATTGGTCCATATAGGATGCTGGGGATAGAAACTGGTTTTGCCGCATGCAAGGCAAATGCCTTATCCACTGTACTGTTCCCCTCCTTATTGTTTAAGCTAAGATTTCATGATTTGCAGTAGCATTGATGCTAATTTTTACAGCATGCAGTGTTAATGCACCATGATCTGTACCTGTACCAATATCTCTCCATCTAGGTCCTTTGTTATCATTTTTCGTCCTCAGTTAGTTCTGTTGGCAGAATCTCAGGGTTTGACTTTAATTGACTGCTTTTTATTACCTTACAAAAAATTTCCTTCCTTTTGCTCTGTATCATACAATATTTGCCTTTCTCTTTCTTTCCCATTTTATTCAAGTTGCTGTGAAGTCTGCAAGATTTAATCCTCCCAGTATTTTTAAATAAAGGGGTTTATTACATTAATTTACTTAGAATGTGTATTGCTGATGAATAAAAAAATTATGTTCAATTTTGTCTTAGCATTAGTCTATATAACAACTTATTCTTTTTTATTGAATCACTTTGAGATATACATTTACAAAGTTGTTCATGATTGGGTTTTATTTGCACAATGTTCCAACACCAACCCTTAACCAGTGTACATTTCCCACCACCAATGTCCCCAGTTTGCTTCCTGTCACCCCCTCTCAGCTTGCTTCTATGTTAGACACTTCTCTCCCTCTCTCGCTCTCTCTCTTTCTCCCTCTCTTGCTCTCACTCTCTGTCTTTTTCCCTCTCTCGCTCTCACTCTCTCACTGCCTCTATGGCAATACTTTTTTTTCTCTCAAGTGTATAGTGCACCTTTTTTTGTTTTTTGGGTCACACCCAGCAATGTTCAGGGGTCACTCCTGGCTCTTCACTGAATAATTACTCCTGGCAGTGCATGGGGGACCAGATGGGATGCCGGGGATTGAACCCAGGTTGGTCATGTGCAACGCAATCACCCTACCCGCTGTAAGATCTCCTTGGCCCCGAGTATAGTGGATTTTGGACATAAATGGTTTGTGAAATTGGTACTGTTTTGTTATCATATATATCCTTTTACCTACTTTTATCACTTAGTTCTTGTCCAGAGTGATTATTTCCAATTGTCATTGTGATAGTGTTCCCTTCTCTAGTCTTAACTACCCTCTCCCCATAACCATCACTTGTGACAAGTTTCTAACTGAGGAACAGGCCTCCTAGCCTTCATTTTCTATGGGTAATAGTCTCATACTGTGTTTTTTATATCCCAGAAATGAGTGCAATCATTCTATGTCTGTTCCGCTCTGACTTATTTCAGTCAGCGTGATATTCTCAATGTCCATCCGTTTATAAACAACTTTCATAACTTTATTTTCCTGACAGCTGCATAGTATTCCATTGTACTGCCAATTATTTTAATGATTACATTTCTGCTTGTAGTTTACTTCTGCTCTCATAGCCTCATTTGTTTTATTGGATGTACTTTGTTTCTGTCACACGACCGACCCAGGTTTGATTCCTCTGTCCCTCTCAGCTACCGAGAGTATCTTGGCAAGCTACCGAGAGTATCTTCACCTGCACGGCAGAGCCTGGAACACTGCCTTTGGTGTATTCGATATCCCAAAAACAGTAACAACAAGTCTCATGATAGAGACGTTACTAGTGCCCACTCGAGTAAATTGATGAACAACGGGAGAAGAGTTATACAGTGCAGTGCTAATTTGTTTCTGTGAGCTCATTAACCATTTCATTTCTGAATTCTTTATCAGAGAGACTGTGTTGGTGGATATTACTTGTTGAGATTTCAGAACTCCTCTCTTTGTCTACTTACTGTGGTAGGATTCTGCGTTGTTTCCCCATGGTTTCTGTGGTAATATGGAGGTGATTTTTTTCCAATAACTATCAGCATCGATCCCTCTTTGCCAGGGATGATTCTGGGCGAATTCAGTGGGTAACGTTTTTTCTTTCCCTGTAAAAGATATTCCCTTCCAACTTGGTGTTCCTGTCTAGTTTTTAATTAAGGTTCTATTGTTTCTTGGTCACCAATACTTTTGTGGGCTTTGGGGGAATGTTGAATGGAGTAGGGACTAATTGACTCTTGACCTACTGTGTTTGGGGTAGCCAGGCTGCCCTAGTGAAAGTTCAGTATCGGAGGCCAAGATGTGGATCTTATGGGATATGGAGCGGGAGATAACTGACAGCTTAGAGAACCACATGTTCTCCTTGTCTAAACTGTGGAATGAGCCAAGCATTACTGGTTTTCAGGGTCAGATACAGAGTAAGTGTTCAAATTTCACAGTCAACTTGCTCGAAGGAAAATTCTTTCCCATAGCGTATTCGTGCAGGTATGCCTTCTACTGGGCACTGGTACTAGTTGACTTTCTTCCCACAGGGTTGTGGCTTTCACGCAGAGAGGGTACCTACATTTGTAGCTACTCCTAGTAGTTTATTCTTTTTTAAAAATTTTTATTAGTGAAACACGATGAGGTACAGTTGTAGACGTACAAATTTTTGTGCTTGGATTTCAATTATACAACGATCAAATACCCATCCCTCCACCAGTGCCCATTTCCCACCACCACGGATACCACTATCCCTCCCACCTCCCCATCCCCCTCATCCCACCCTGCCCCTGTGGCAGGGCATTCCCTTTTGTTCTCTCTCTCCTTTTGGGTGTTGTGGTTTGCAAAAGAGGCATTGAGTGGCAGTCATGTTTGGTCTATAGTCTACTTTCAGCATGCTTCTCTCATCGTGGGATGATCCTCCCAACACCCTTTATTTGGTGCTCCCTTCTCTATCTGAGCTCCCTTTTCCCCTAGCTTGTGTGGCTGGCCTCCAAGCCATGGAGCAAACCTCCTGGTACTAATCTCAGCCACTCTTGAGATCCTATTTTGTTTAGAGTCTTTGTATCATAATAATAGAATGGTGATAGCAGAGTGAGTTTAGGATCAGTGTTAGCTAATACAGTGTTCCAGTTGATAACTCATTAGAAATTTTCCTGGATAAATTTCAATATGGAGAATTGGGGACAAATCAGTGTTAATATTAAAAGTTTCAATTGGTGGTTTAGGTTAAAACATGGTTTTGGTTGTCATTTTGCAATATGAAATCTGTTGGGACATTTTGATGTAGAATTATTTGTTATACTTTGTTACTAAGTACTTTTATTGTGTTTTTGCTCAAGAATTGCCAAGAAGATGCTTTTAGATGAAATCAAAGCCAATCTCTCCTCTGATGAAGATGGATCATCAGATGATGAAGCTGAAGTAGGAAAAAAAAGAACCGGAAAACACAATGAAGAAACTATTGAGGGTTAGTGTCTAAAAGAGAAGTATAATATAATGAAATTTAATTATTTTCTAGTATTTTGCATCTAGTACTGTATATCTAAAGCTTAGACACTTGTGTTTTATTTATTTACTCTTTGGGGGGGGTCACGCCTGGCGATGCTCAGGGGTTACTCCTGGCTCTGCACTCAGGAATTACTCCTGGCGGTGCTCAAGGGACCATATGGTATGCTGGGATTCGAACCTGGGTTGGCTGCATGCAGGTCAAACGGCCTACCCGCTGTGCTATTGCTCCAGCCCCTAGACACTTATGTTTTAAAAAATGTATGATTTTAAAATGTTTATTAAAGAACCATGATTTACAAAGTTACTGGTAGTTGAGTTTTAGGCATATAATAGTTTAACACCAATCCCTCAACCACTGTTTCCAGATTCCCTTCCCACCCTAACTCCCACACCTTCCTGTCAATTTGACAGGCACACAACAAAGTTTCAGTGGTTGCTTCTTAGGTCTTATGTTGTTAGTTCCATTGAATCTCTTGATGTCTTTTTAAAAATGCATTAGAAGTGTATTACAGTGTTTTGGTGTGTATTATCTTTACTCTTTTTGAGTATCTGGAATTAACTGTTCATGTTTTGTCCTTTAATTCCAATAAACATGATTGTGCAGGATCTTTATTCTTTAACTAAATCTATAATTACTTTTTTGTTACTTAAATAATAAATAAATAAGGTCTTTTGTATTATATTGCTGTTACCAGTGATGCCACAGTAAGTGTGTAGTTCTGATATTTTTCAGAACCCATGATAATTTTCAATAAATAGTTTTTGTAAAACTGTTTAAAGAAATAATATCTGAAGGTTTTATTGATATATTTTTTCATTTAGAAACAAAAAATCAGGTCAATTCTGAATCAGATTCAGATTCTGAAGAATCTAAGAAACCAAGATACAGACATAGGCTTTTGAGGCACAAGCTGACAGTGAGTGATGGAGAATCTGGAGAGGAAAAAAAGACAAAACCGAAAGAACACAAAGAAGCAAAAGTTAGAAATAGACGGAAGGGTAAGATGTTTTAATTTTGATTATAAGTAACCATACTCGGTTTGTAAACTTACTGTAGTAATGAAGTATCTGTACACCTGCTCTAACAGTTTGACCACTGATGTAAGTTTACATAAGCATAACGGTAACTATTATTTTCTTATATGAGAACAGAATAAAAATTACAGTATGAAAATAACTTTGAGAGAGGGCGTAATTTTGGTAGGGTGTTTGTGTTTAGGGTGTTTAGGAGGACTTATAAGCAGTGCTTAGAAAGCCCCGGGCCACATCCTGTGGTATTAGACCCGGCTCTGCCGGTCTGAGTGTTCATTTCTTTGTAGTTACAATGCAGAACAGGTGTAACTCAGTATTTTGGGGGGCAAATAGGGCCACATTCAGTAGTGTTGGGATGGCATTGTAGCACAGTCCTCGCGTTGTTCATCGATTTGCTTGAGCGGGCCCAGTAACGTCTCCATTGTGAGACTTGTTGTTACTGTGTTTGGCATATTGTATACGTCATGGGTACCTTGCCAGGCTTTGCCGTGTGGGCGAGATACTCTCGGTAGCTTGCCGGGCTGTCTGAGAGGGGCAGAGGAATCGAACCTGGCTTGGCCAGGCTGGTTGCGTGCAAGGCAAATGCCCTATCATTGTGCTATCGCTCCAGCCCAGTGTTGGGGTTGCCGTGCACATGTATGTGACATGTTCTTCAGCCCTTACAAATACCTCTCTGGCCTTATTTTTTCTTTAGTTTTTAAATTTTTATTTATTTTTGTCATAACAGTAGTGTTCAGGGCTTACTCCTTGTTCTATACTCAGGGATCACTCCTGGCAGACGTGGGGGACCATATGGGTTGTCGGAGATTGAGCCTGAGTCAGCGTTGTGCAAGACAGGCACCCTATTACTCAAAGTACTACCTCTGTGGGCCCTGTCTTTTTAGAATTTTTTTAATTTTAAATTTTTTGTTTGGGGGTCAAAACCAGCCTTGCTCAGTACTTTATACTGGCGAAGCAGTGAGGGGTCATTCCTGGAGAGCTCAGAGTACCATATAGGGTGTGGGGATTGAACCTGGATTGGCCACGTGTAAGACAGATGCCCTACTATCTTTAGTGTCATTCCAGCTCATCAGCCTTAAGTTTTTAATTATAACACCATAATTTAGAAAGTTGTTCTTTATGCAGTTGTTTTAGGCATACAGTGTTCAAACACCACATAAGTGTCCCCAGTTTCCGTCCTATCCATAAAGTCTGCACACTTAGCAGGCACAGAGCAGTTTTACTTCATATTGCTTACTATAACATAATGGCAAATGGAATTATCAGAAAATAGATTAATGAGTCTATTTTTTGATGATTTTTATATTTCACAATGGTGTTCTTAAAGTCATTGTCTGAAGATTCACTGAGTTTGTTGGTGCAGTTTGAGCCTTTGGTGTTACTGTTTTCATTCATGGGCTGGAGGGATAGCACAGCAGGTAGGGCAATTGCCTTGCATGCGGCTGACCCAAGTTCGATTCCTCTGCTTCTCTCAGAGAGCCCAGCAAGCTACCGAAAGTATCCCACTCACACGGCAAAGCCTGGCAAGCTACCCGTGACGTATTTGGTATGCCAAAAACAGTAATAGCAAGTCTCATAATGGAGATGTTACTGGTGCCCGCTCCAGCAAATCGATGAACAATGGGAGGACAGTGTTACAGTTTTCATTCATTGAACTTGGTGGGCTTGTACACAACTTTTCTATCAGATTTGCTGTACTTTTTTGGGGGTCCGCACCCAGCAGTACTCAGGGGGTTACTCCTGGTTCTATAGAAAATTACTCTGTAATTCTTAGGAATTCCTCCTGGAGATGCTCAGGGACCTTACGGGATGGTGCTGAGGATGGGACCCGGTTTGGCTGTGTGTAAGGCCTGCCAACTGTGCTACCTCTCTGGCCCCATAATTTGGTCCACTTCTACTGGGCTGTAAATACTGTGACATTTGGAGGTGTCAGGAGTTGTACAACTGGGACTTTTTAAGTGTTGGAGAAGGTCATTGTGTCAGCTGGTGGGCCTAGCTCAGGGGAAGTTACATAATCTTCCTAACCCTAGTCTGAAGATGTCAGAGTTTTCAGCTTGGAAATTCAGCTTGTACAGTTGTTTTTTGCGTTGGGTTTGCATCCAATGATGCTCAAGAGCTATTCCTGTCTTTATACTCAGGAATCAATCATGGAGATGCCCGGGGCCCATATGGGATGCCTGGTATCAAACCCATGTTGGTTGCCTGCAAGGCAAATGCCCTACCTGCTGTTCTGTAGCTTCAGCACCTCTGCTGGAACAGTTTGGCAGCTTAGTGACTTTTTATCCCTGGCCTGATTGCAAATAAAGTATAAAGGCTCTGGAGAAAATATGTTAAAGTAAAAATGCTTTCCCAAGGTAAGGTAACATGCCATTAATATGGATCAATTAATATAGATTTTATATGCAACACTTTTGTAGTTATAAGGTAAGGTAAAGGTAAAGGCCCTCCCGTTGATCATCGATTTGCTCGAGCGGGCCCAGGAACGTCTCCATTGGAGACTTTGTTGTTACTGTGGTTATATTAAATTTTTATTAAATTAAATGTCTGAATCCTGGTTGTAGAGATAGTACAGTGGGTTAAGCACTTGACTTGCACACAGCTGACCTATGTACTCTCCTGAGTACCACGTAATGATCTCCTGAGCACAACAAAGAGTGACCCATGAGCACAGAGCCAGGAATAATTCCTGAGCATAATAAAGAGTGACACAAAACCAAACAAAGTTTGAATTCATCTTTACTTAGTATTTAGTTATTTCTAGAATCACTATTGAGAACAAAAACATGAAGTAAATTATTATTTTGTATGGTAGTTTTCTTTTGGTAGGGGGCACCCTTGGCCATGATCTGATGTTACTCATGGCTCTGCATTCCTGCTAGTGCTTAGGGGACCATAGGGGATGCCAGGGATTCAGCCTGGGTCAGCTGCATACAAGGTATATGTTCTGCCCTCTGTGTTATTGCTCTGGCCATTGTATGGTAGTTTTCAACCTTGCTGTGCTTGTGGATGACTTGAGGAATTTTAAAAATATACCTAATATTATTCCAGTTACAATATAATTGGAGATTATAGGTTCTAGGTATTTGTAAATTTTAAAAGGATTTCAGTGTTGGAGTTAGAGAAATAATACAGTGGTCTCATCACTTGCTTGAATGTAGACAACCTGTGTTTGATTCTCTAGTATTGCATATGGTTCCCTGAACCCTGAACCCTGCCATGAATAATCTCTAAGTACAGAGCCTGGATTAAGCCTTGAACATTGTTGGGTGTGGGCACCCCCAACCCACTAACAAAGGATCCCAGTACTTCTGATATTTAACCAGGTTTCGCAGTCACTAATTTAGGAAGGTAAAGGTAAAGGTAAAGGTCCTCCCGTTGATCGTCGATTTGCTCGAGCAGGCCCAGTAACGTCTCCATTGGAGACTTTGTTGTTACTGTGTCTGGCATATCAAATACTCTCGGTAACTTGCCGGGCTCTCCGAGAGGGGCAGAGGAATCGAACTCGGGTCGGCCATGTTGGCCGCTTGTAAGGCGAACCCCCTACCCACTGTGCTATTGTAATTAATTCAAGATACCATAATACTAGGATTAATATCTTACAGCATGGGACAAAAGATAAAACTGTTCTGGCTTCTTGGGTGGTCGGGAGTTATCCTCAGAGAAGATTTCAAATAGATGAACTTTTACCAGATAGGTCTTAACCTATGTGGAACATGTGGATTTGAATGTGCTGTAAAACTTTTAAAATATTCCATTATAAAATATTTGTCTCGCCATGATAAAAGGGATGCATGCAATATAGTGTAGTTGGACTATAGGAGGGAACATAAAATGAAAAACAGGAAATAAGATTGGGACTATGAAACAGAGAAAAGATAATGGGATACCCTTACGGGCTCATATGTTTGTCAAATAGGAATTCTCTTGTGGAACTTTGGGCATATGTTGCTATAAATATGGTACATATTTTTTTGTATGTTTATTCTGTATGAGAGATGTGGTAGAGCAACATTATATAAAGTAGTCATATGTACTTTGAGAAATTACATGTCAATCTACGGATATTTTTGGTGGGTTGGGCCTATCAGATTTTTGGTTCTGTTCTCTTGGTTCTGGTTCTGTTCTCTTGGCAATGAGTGCTTGGGAAACCATGAGATGCCAGGAATAGAAACTAGGCTGCCGGCATGCAAAGCATCCACTTTTACCTGAGACGTTTATTAAGATTCTGCTCAATTCTCCAACTCTTGGAGGGCAGGCTAACATTTGCTTGTTAGAATAGGAACGCTTAGGATGGGTTTTGGGCCATGTCCAGTGGTACTCAGGGATGACTTCTGTCTCTGAACTCAAGAATTGCTCCTGGTGATCCTGGAGAACCTTATGGGATGTGGGGTATCAAACAGAGGTTGCCTGTGTGTGATGCAAGTCCCTTCTATCCCTCCAGCCACGGGAAAGCATTTTTGGGTTTGAGAAATAACCATAGATGCTATACATTTGAGAGCCACCGAGAAGTTAATCTTTTGCTTTGAGATGCTTTAACTTTGGATAGTGTTAGCTCTGTCAAGTTGAATCACATGTCCTTTGAGTATTTTCTCCCATCCTTTTGAGCATTGCTTAAATTTTCTGGCACAACCAGCATTTTTTAACTTTTTTTTTTTACTTTTATTTTGCTGTGCTGGAGCGATAACACAGCAGGTAGGGCATTCGCCTTGCATGCCACCCACCGCGTTTGATTCCTCTGTCCCTCTCAGAGAGCCCAGCAGGCTACCGATAGTATCCCGCCTGCATGCCTGCATCGCAGAGCCTGGCAAGCTCCCCACTTGGTGTATTCGATATGCCAAAAATAGTAACAACAAGTCTCACAATGGAGATGTTACTGGTGCCCGCTCGAGCAAATTGATGAACAATGGGAGGACAGTGCTACAGTGCTACTTTTATTTTATTTTTTTGCATTGCCGTGGGATAGTTAC